TATCCTCTATTGTTTCTGACACTCACTTATGTGGGCCACAGCTCACCTTCACCCTTCCCTCTCTATACCTTGGCTGACACCTTTACACTGTTCTCCTGCAGGTGCATCAGCCCTTCTGAGATCTTCACCCCGATGGACTCGGCAGCCAGCTCAAAGGAAAAGGGTCCCTGGACTTTCTCAGCCAACAGCAGAAGACCATCTGGAGGGAAGGGGGGTGGGGCGGGCAGAGAAAGTAGAGGGTATGTACTGAACTAGGACAGTCCCACAAATCTCACTAGGGCCTTAAAAATAAAGAGCAATTTGCTTGCTTGGAGGTAGTGTGTGTCATCACTTGAGAAAAACCCCCTCCCTCTTATTCTTCCTCCCAGTTTGGTTTTAGGCCGCCCTCTTCTTACACAAATGGCCCCCAACCTACTCAGGGCCCTCCTCCACTAGGGCTTTCATGAGCTCCCTCACCCAGATATCCGCCCCATTCAGGCTCCAGTCCCCTGCTGCTGAGGCAGCCATGGGCCACATTGAGACAGAAGCCCCGGCAGGGCATAAGCGAGGGGACTCCCCGACAAAGTGGGCAGCCGATCAGACGCATCAGGGCCTGCCTGCAGCCTTCCAACACGGGCACCTGGGGGGGGGTAGAGAATGGGTCTGGGCATCCATGAACACCTAGGCTGCTCTTAGCAAGCGTGGTGCTGGGCATAGAGAGGTGAGAGAGAGATATCCTGACCCACCTCCCCAGGCTATCAGTAGGAAGCTGGATGTGACCAACTGTGGCTGCTGACCCCTGGGCTACAAGGGGAGTACCCAGAGGCAACCCTGCTGAATCCACCTCATGAGAGGTGCTACTAGGGAGAGGCTCAGGGCCAAGAGTGAGCCCAAGAGGGCTGAGGAGAGAGAAAGGAGGCAGGAGGTGAGGTTGGGGGCAGGACTGGTGATGCAGAAAGGCCTTCAGCAGCAAGGAGGAGGGAGCGGCCACTGAGGCGTTCGCTGCAATCTTGAACTGCCACGGAAATGAGGGCTTCCTCCAAGCCCTCACAGAAGGCATGTGAGTCACCAGAGGGGAGAACCAGAAGTCACAGGAGATCCCTTTAGACACCCGTGGAGGCCTGACTCTGTACCCTGGAACACCAGAGCACAGGAGCAGACAAGGGACAGCTCGAGGCTCCTCCCACCAGTTGGTGCCTGTCCTCCTCACTCCCTAGGCTCTGTACATACTCTGGTCCCCTCTAACCTTAAGTGCTTCACTGACAACGTTTCTTCCAGTCTCCAGACCCTGGACCAAAGCCCGAGCTGCCACCAGTGCCCGGGTTATCTGGAAGGCGAGGTGGGGGGAAAAAAGACAAAAATGATTATGAGTTTGTGAAGACAAGCTGAGACATCAGGAGGCTGGGTTTCTAGGTTAACTTGGGGTGGGTACACCGTTGAGTGATATAAGGGGGAGGTTCGATACCCCAAAGGAATTGTAGTCTAGAAAGCCTGGGTGTTTGGAGAGAGCTGGCAGGGTTGTGCTGAACAAGGTTTGATAGACTGTGTGTCAGAACCCTGACCTTAAAAGTTACAAGACTAAGGTGTGAGGTTGAGCGTTACCACTTCTTGGTTATAAGACTTGCTTGGGAGCCCCATTTTTCTCCTTTGTAAAATCAGGGTGCTCTTATTTACCTCAAACAATTATGGTGACAATTCAATGTGATATACTGTAAGTGAAAATGATTCCCAACTATGGACTGTCCAGCTCAGGTTTAGTAGAACCATAGGAAGTGACTGTGTGGGGATTACAGAGGTAGTGGCAGAAAAGTAACTGGGGGTGGAGGGCCAAGTGTGTATACAAAAGTGGGGCAAAGATGAGGATGGGCATGTAGTTAAAGAAGATCAAGGGGCACTGGTCAGGCATAGGTGGCCAAGGCTTGAGATGGGGACCACCAAGTCAGAGAAGGGCTGAGATGTAGGGCATGAGGTCAGAGATGACAAGGGCACAAAGGGGGAGATTGTCTTGGAGATGATGGTTCATAAATTAGAGCACACTAGGTCAGAGATTGCTGAAGCTCAGGTCGTGGGATCCCCTCACCTGTAGGCGGAGGCGGCGGGGTGAGTCCCCGAAGGGCTGCAGAGAGCCATCGGCAGTAGAGGTGAGCCGAGTAAGGCAGAGCAGGAAGTCAGGAGGGAAGCTGTATTGTGGGTGCAGCAAAGGGAAGGCTCTCTCCAGGAGCTGTGCCCAGAAATCCGCCAAGGTGTCATCTAACCCCTCGCCAGACTTCTCATAGTAGTCCCGCAGGCCCGAGAACAGACTATTGAAGATGATGGCGTGTTGGGAATACAGGCGACCATAGGAATGCGAGAAGAGCTGGGCCAAAGAATGCTGGGATATGGACAGCATCTCCCGAAAAAACTCTACCAGAGGTGGAGTGAGAGGAGGGAAAAGGGAAAGGTAGAGCAGAGACAGGAGGGCAGAGAACGAGGAAAAGAAGAGGCAAAGAATTAGAAGACTGGGCAAGTCAGAGATCTGGCAGACTAGGATTGAGGAAGGGCAGGGCCCTGGAGAGAAGGTGGAGTGGGAATTGGAGATAAGCAGGACCGGGCAGTTATGGGGAGTTCTGGGGTGGGCGGTGGGCTGTGTCAAGACTGCAGGAGGTGGGGGCAGGAAGCTGAGGGGGAATCACCAACATAAAGAGCTGTGAAGTACACCTGGAGACCCCCAAGGGTCCTCACCATTAAACTTTCTATGCCGGGCAGCCAGGGTGTGGATCAGGAAGGAGCCACTGTCCTCCACCAGGCCACGGAAGGTGACCTCAGCATCCCTGATCAACTTCTGCTCTGTCTCACTGGAACAGCAGGTGTACTCCTGAGGACAGATCTGAAGGTGCTCACCTGGGCAGAGGAAACAGGGAGGGACCGTGGATGGCAAGAAGGGTATTATGAACTTCCTTCCATCTCCCATCTATCTTTGGGGGCTGACTGGTCTCTTCTGCCTGCCCGGTCCAGTTGCTTGTTCCTTTGTCTGCCCCTTCAGCCCTACCTGAACCCTCCTGTATTGTCCTCACCCATCCCGAGTTCACCCCTATTTGTCATAGCATCATCTATATGACAGCTGCCTTGAGGGCCAAATTAGTGACCAGGGTGTCTTCAGGTGACCCTCCCCAAAACAGCACACGCCACGCCTCCAAGGATTTATGGGACGTCTGTGGCACAGGTGAAGAATGGGGTTTGTAGAGATGGGGCTACTTGGTGAGCAAGAAAGTATAATCATAAAAGAAGCTCATAGAAAATGCAAGGGGATTCCTGTCTGCTAAGAAAGACACTAACGGTGTGCTAATTGCAGAGAGGGGATTCCTTGGGTGGGGATTGAGTGACGGCTATTATGTGAGCAGCAGGGTTATTGTGATCCTGGAAAGGAAGTTACAGGCGGAGGAAGAGAAGAAGAAGAGAGATGCCTAAGAGATGAAACCATTATCACAATGGTCACTGAAAGGAAAGCGTCGTCGTGAGATGGGGGGCCCCGTCCCCGCCCCCTCCCACCTCTGCCTCTTCAGTCTTCCTCTTTCTTCTCACCTGAGATGAGGGAGGGAGGGATTAGGTTTAAGCTATATCCCCGTGCTCCCAGCACCTGCCGAGTCTCTGCACAGCTCCGGACGACCTTTGCCTCGCTCCGAGGTCCCGGACCAGGACCGGGACACAGAGGGAGCAGCAAAAGCAGGAGCGGACGCAGCGCGGACATAGCTGCTCTCCTCCCCGGGACGGGGCAGAGTGGGTCCTAGGAGGAAAGGGAGTCCTCAGAACTCTACAGTTCCTTCCTCGGCCGCGGAACGTCTCCAAGAGAAGAGAAAGAGCGCACCCCCCGAAACCGAACCACCCCAGCACGGGAGCCGGACCAGGCGGCATCTGCCGAGACAATGGGAGCCCGGGAGCGGGACAGGGGGCGGGGCCCGAAGCGGAGCCCCGCCAATGATAAGAAGGAGCCGGCCTCGGGGGCGGGGTCAGGGTAGAAAAGAAGCCAATGTGGAAGGGGAACCCGGCAGGGGGCGGAACGCGGCTACACCGCGAAGGGCCGGGAGGCAGAGGAAATGTGGCCTGGAGGAGAGGCGTGGCTTTCCTGCTCGAAAGGCGGGGCTTGCGTGAAACTCAGCCTATTGCAATTGGGAAGCCGCACGGAAGGCGGTAGCAGAACGCTCAACCAATGGAGGGGGACATAGGAGCAAAAGGGGCGTGGCCAGGGCGGAGCGCCCCACACGCGCTCCAGCGCACGTGACAGGAGCGCACGCCTCATGCCTGGTGGCGGCTCGAAGCCGAGCGTGCTGTGGCCAGAACGTGCTTAGCACGAGCTCGCTCTCTCCCCCAAGTCTCGCGACACTTCTCAGCTGCACGAAGCACGGTTAATCTCGCGCCTGCGCGGCGAGTCCCCTGCCTTCCCGCGTTTTTCTAGACTTACGCGCCCGACACCTGAGGAAGAAGAGTCGCCGCGGCGGGCGTCTCAGTCAGAGGTGGGATGACCAGTGGGACGTGAAAGGACCCCGGAGGTGGTGGCCTTGCTTCACCTGTGTTCATCTAGAGGTCACTCTTGCAAGCTCCTACAGTGAGGTTGCCCCTTGGAGCCCTTGAGTAGGCC